GTTACGTACCTTGAGTTTGCACACCCAGGACATGCCTGCCTCCAGCGGTGTGTCGTCCGGCCGGATGTCTCTGTGATGGGTTGATTGATGTGCAAACAGACAGACACATAGATACATAGGGATCCGATCCACACAGGTACATGTGTGTGGCTGCATTGCATTGCACCCGTGTGTGTGGTGTGTGTGTGTGTGCGTTGCGTGCATACGCGTGCCAGTGTCTGTATCCCTTCTCCATCGACAGGCCCTCCACAGCATAGTACCCCACATTCTGATAGATAGCACACACACACGACACATGGACACATGATGTGATTGATGTGGTTGGTCGTCTCTACACACGTGCTGCTGCTGTGCTGTCATCACATCATGTGCAAACAGACAGACAGACACGTACCTGCACGCCGTATTTCTGCCCGGCCTCCCACACTATGTCATAGACGGCCTCACCGCTGCATGTGTTGAGACAGACACACACGTGACGTGGCAGGCACACGTCTGTGTCTGCCTGAGTGCAGCATATGTGCCGGCAGGCAGGCACACGTCTTTACGTACGTACCTTTCCCTGGGCACGTGCAGCTCATATCCCGTCTCGCCCACAAAGGTCAGCCGGATGACGCGCACTGAGTGACCTGTCGGCACACATATATCCCACATCCATCCATCCATCCAGCCAATATGCACACATGGGTGCATGTGGTGGCTACTTGCCTTTGACGTCGACCATCCTGTTGGTGCCAAAGGGGAAAGCGTCGATGGACATGTCCTGCCCGGTGAGGCCCTGCATGAGGGCTCTGCTGTGCGGCCCTTGCACACTTAGCACGCCGTGCTCGTCCGTTATCGGCTGAGTGAATACACACATTGATTGATCCACGTGGGCCCATGGCGAGTGTGTGTGTGTTTGTGTGGGCGTGGGGGTGTGGCTGTACCGACCGTGACAGTGCAGTCGAGGCCCCTTTCCCTGATGGTCTTCCTGATCCATTGCTCTGCGAGCACACACATACAGACACACATATGGGCCGATCAGATCAACCAAGATAGTCGTTGTAGGCGCTGTGCTGCAGGCATGGCATGGAGGTCCACACATACATACCGTCATGCTGCGCCGACCCGCCCGGTGTGGCTATGTAGAAGCTGTGCACACACACGGACACAGATGGGATGGGATGTGCGGTGGGTCGTGTGCGGCGCGGTGCGTCATGCGTAGCAAACGTACTTGTTGTCGCCGATGTGGCTGACGGTCAGGTCGCACTCCACACCTATGTGTTGGTTCACACACACACACACACTCATAATTTGCATGCAGCATAGCACTCACTCATTGCGTGTGTGTGTGTGTGTGTATGTGTGTGTGTTGTGGGTACCTCCCCTTTGGTTGCACATCTGGGTGTAGGTGGTGCTGCCCACACCTTTGCCCGCCACGTTTGCCGTCGACAGCAGGCTGCGGTGGGTGGACACACATTACATACAGAGAGAGACACAGGCAGGCGATGGATGTATCTATCGGCAACACACATGAGACGTATGCGTGTGTGTCTCTACTATACCTGACGGCAGCGGTGGAGTCCTTTCCCTCGACCAGCAGCTTGCCGAAGGCCGACATGTCGATCAGACCCACCTACCAGCACACACACACACACACAAACATGCAGTGGACACGACATACACAAAGAGGGGGGAGACTGCACGCGCCGAGCTCACCTTGTTTCTGATGGCCGCATGCTCGCTCTTGACCGTTGCGAAGGTGTGCGGCCACTGGAATGAGTACTCCTGCAATTTGTGAGCGAATCACAGTCGATGGATGGATGGATGGAGGCAGTGTGTCGTACGTGTCTGAGCATGTCGGCGTATGTGTGTGTGGCGTGCTTGGGGGTGCAGTCGGGGTAGGCGCCATAGTAGTCGTACGTGAGCGGCTCGGTCTGCCTGTCTGTATGTGTGTGTGTGGCGTCGAAGTAGAAGGGGCGCTCGTAGCCCAGCGTCTCAATGTGGAAACAGCCCTGCACACACATTACATTCGCCCACAGATCTCTCTCCCTTTCTCCCTCTCTCCCTTTCTCCCTCTCTCTATCTCCGTGTGTGGGTGCCTGCTGGATCAGCCGGTCATAAAAAGGCGACTTCCGCAGCAACCTGCACACACAACACAGTCACCTCATACACAACACACGTGCAGACAGACCTGTGTGTGAAGGCATGAACGTGTGTGTGTGTGTGCATGTATGTGTACCGACCGTACCGTCCTGCCAGAGGCTGGTCGTGAGGGTATACAACTGAGTAGTTCTTGGCGTAGGCCTCGTGCGACCTGTCCTTGACCCACTTGGTGTTGTTGGTATACGACTGGTGGAACCGTGTGATGTCTGACGAGTACCTGCACACACAGGGAGGGCATGGCATCCGTGAGTGAGTGTGTCTGTGTCTGTCTGTCTGTGTCCGTCCGTACATGTCGATGTCGGTGTATCCCTGGTCAATCCACTGGGCAATCTGGTCGCCATGGCCGCCACTCAGCATGATCCCTGCAAATGCATACACCACACCACAACACACCACACCAGACCACACCACACACCCACAGGGAGACAGAGAGTGGCACTGCAAGCATGGACACAGCACGAGTGACTGCATCATCACACATCACAGACCTGCGCTGTTGTATCCACAGGCGAGGAAGAGGTTCTCACAGTCGGGCGTGTAGCCCACCAGCGGCTTGTGGTCAGGCGTGAAACTGTGCAGCAGGTGCAGACACATACGCAGACAGACACCTGTGTGTGTGTGTGTGTGCCTAAAGTGGATTGGGTACCTCTCGGGTCCGCAGACGGTGTGCTGGATGCCCGCAGACTCGACTGACGGCACCCTGTGTGTGTGTATGGTGCATACATACATGGAAGCATCCAGCCAGCCATCTATGTGTGTGTGTACCTCTTGACGTGTGCGTTGATGTGGGCCTCGAAGATGTCCTGCGTGTGGACAGGACAGACATCTATGCCCCTCTCTCTCTCTCTCTCTTTGTGTGTGTGTGTGTGTGTGTGTGGTGCCTGTGTACCCACCCAGTTTAGGTCAAACAGCCCAAAGGCAAACGAATCCTTCACATCGTCCTGCACAGATCAACAGACAGCATAGCTATGCACCGCTCACAGCCGCCGCCCGCCCGCCCAGCGACACTCACTCACCCAGAAATCTGGATCCTGCTCGTAGCCACCGATGGCCAGACAACTGCCCTGTGTCGTGTGGTGTGGTGTGTCGTCACACGCACGCACGCACACACACATGACATGGACACACATTCGCCTCGTCTCGCCGACACAACCACGCCCTGCCCGCCCATATGATGGATGTGTACCTGCAGCTTCAGGTACACGCTTTGGTCATGGTCCCGTATGTTGGGGACGAAGCCAAGACCCTCGATGGGCTGTGTGACCACATAGGCGTGCTTCATGGCGGCCAACGGGCAGTGCGCACCTGATGTAAACACACACATCGTGTCCACACACGGATGGATGGATGGATGGATGGAACCATCCACCACACCGCCGTCCATGTGCTATGCGGGGGATACGCACCGGCCATGTGTGCGACCTTCGGTGACCAGACGCCACAAGCGTTGACCAGCAGGGAGGTCTGCATCATGTGTGTGGACAGAGACATACAAGCCTTCACACGTGTGTGCCTTGTGTGCCTTGTGTGTGTGTGTACCTTGATAGTGCCTCGTGTGGTCTCGACAGCGGTGATCCGGTTGCCTTGCTTCTGCAGACCTGTCAGGAAGTAAGTACGGACACACACAAGCACAGCACACCGATGGATGGATGGATCCGCACATCAATCACATCACATAGGCACATGTGCAGACGGACGGACGGACGAACGCACCCTCCCTCACAATGAGCTCACCGGTGACAGGGGTCTCCTCAAAGACCTTCCCCCCTCTCTGCTTGCCGCCCTTCGTGTAGGCTTGCTGCACACACACACTCATGGATAAACACACACACACACATGTGTGTGTGTGTGTGCGTGTTTGTGTGTCCGTACCGTGACGCCAGAGGGCTCAATCAGCCCATCGCCCGGGGAGTACAATGCACCGTAGAGGTCCTCTGCACAGCCAAGAATCTGTCTGTCTGTCTGCCTGTCTGTCATCCAGCCTCCCCAACCTACCTGTGTTGATGAGCGGGTATATGTCTTGCGTCTGTGCGGGGGTCAGCACATGGCTCTCAATGCCGTAGTACTTGCCAACAGTGCTGCATTGCATTGCATGAAGGACACGCACACACGCGTATGTATGCATGTATGTGTGTGTGTGTGAGTGCATGTGATGTGCACAAGGCTCACTGAGCTCACCGACCTGAGTCGTTTGTACTCGTCGAGCCTCTCCTTGGTCGATGCCGTGAACAGACCACCGTTGGGCGTGAACGTAGACAGACCTGCACACACACACACACACAATGCGAAATGAGCTGCCCTTGTGTGTCCGCAACCTCGCACAGAATGGCATACATACATACCGGTTTCCTGTTCGAGTATGCCGTCCTTCTTGACCAGCTCGCGGGTTTTGGACAACAGCTGCACATACGACACACGCCACACCACAACAAACATGCTCACACACGTCCACACACACACACGATACCCACTCACCTGTATCTCGGTGTCATTTGGCCTGAGGCACCAATACAGGCCCGCAGAGTGCCACGTCGTCCCTGCATCAACCAACACACAGCAGGCATGTGCATCCACGTCTGTCTGTCTGTCTGTACCAGCGGTGAGTTTGTCCCTCTCGAGCAGCACCACATTGGTGATGCCCCTCTTGGCCAAGTGGTAGAACACAGACGTGCCAATGGCTGACACACACACATGACAGACAGACAGACAGAAACATACATCTCTGTTGGCAGTGTGTGTATGTTTCGCTCACCTCCGCCGCCCACAATGACTACGTCAGCACTCTCGGGCAATGAGCCATCACCCACAGATGACGAGAAACACCTACACACACACACACACAGAGAGAGAGAGAGAGAGAGAAAAGAGCCGCGTGACAGAAGCACACGCAATGAGTGGGAAGGCCAGATGTGCACGCAAATGGACTCGCATCTGCACAGGATGATGGTGTGTGTGTCATACCTGCTGAGTCTGTGAGCGTTGCCGGCCAGCAGCCTCACACAGCCAGCGGCTGATCTCCCGGTGGCCAGCAACGGCCAACACAACCGACCGCTACTCAACATGTCTGGGCTCTGTGAGCCTACAGAAGCACGGCTGTGACCGCGGAACTTCGCTTGAGAAAATGTGCGAGCTAAAGGTAGGCTCAAGCTAAGCTCGCAGGCACCAAACTCGAGGCCAAATGAGGCAAATGAGCGACGCCACCTTGCTAGTGATGTCGTATGAGGCGATTGGGATGGAGATCTCCGCTTGGCATCATTGAAGAAGGATGCGCGAACTTGTGCTGATGAGTGCACTGATGTGGTGCTTGTGTGGCTGCTGTGAAGGCTATCGTGTACATATGAGGCGGGCGGATGGCTGTACAACGCGTTGCAATGTGTGTATGTATGTATGTATGTATGTATGTATGTTGGCGCATAAATTGGATGAATGGCCGGCCAGGCCATCAGCAGCCACGTTCGTCATTCTCTCCTCTGTGCGGGCATGTGCGTATATATGTGTGTGTGTGCAGGTGCGTATGGTCTGTGAGGTGACTGTGCGCATTCGGGGCAAATGCACCAAGAAAGGCACATGGCAGGTGCGCACCATATACCACAGATGCGTGTGTGCATGCCCCCTCTCGGTGTGAGTGTTTGTCCGTCTGAGTGCATTCATTCATTCAGGACATCGGCTGCGAGCAGTATCGTGTGCGGATGCGGTCAGCACTCGACGTCAAGACCGAATGGGCCGCCAACGTATAGAAGCAACCAGCCACACACGCACACCACATGACCCCATCCAGCATGATGTGGCCCGACGGTGTGGTGCGCATGTGGCCACGTACACGCTCTCAGGATGACTCGTTGGTGTCATGTGTACAGAGGGACCTCTCAAAGCAGCACGCAGTCGTGTGCCTTGATGTGCAGGTATGAATGCGCGTCTGTATCCATCCATCCATCCATCCATCCATCGTCGTGTGTGTGTGTGTGCAGGGTGATGAGCACACGAGCGAGTCGTTCAGCGGCCTCTTGTACAGCCTGCTGCAGCAAGGCGGCTCACGGGTGTCCGTCGTCATCGGTACCCACATCACATCCACACGACACCAACACACGTGCACGCACGTACATGTGTGCATACGCTTGTTTGGTATGTGTTGTGTGTGCAGGCGGTGCAGAGGGACTGCCCGACGCACTGCGGCCCAAGACGGGCCAGCTGAGTGGTCGAGTACGGTACGTGCAGGGGCGCTGCCACGTGCTCACTCACATGTGTGTCGGTGTGTGTGAGTGCAGCTATGTGAGTCTGTCCCGCATGACCTTCCCTCACGAGCTGGCGCGGCTGATACTCTATGAGCAGGTGCGTGCAAATGCACATGCCTACGTGTCTTTTGCCAATTGGTATTCTCTGTGTTGTTTGGCTGTGCGCAGCTGTACCGAGCGGTGGAGATCCGCAAGGGCACCAACTACCACAAGTAGACAGACGAACGACTCGCGGCCGACTACACTACGTGTGTGATAATATGATACGCACACTCAGTGCGTCATAACGATGTCATGATTCGTACTCTCAGTCATGTTGATATGCGCGCACAGCAACTCTCTCCAGATCTCTCTGCCTCACACGCAAACAAAAACAGCTGCGGTGCAGCCTATGAACGAACACGATGCCATCACGAGCCACACGGCGAGAGCATTTCGCACAAGCGCATTTACGTCTCGTGGCTAAGCTCGCAAAAGGCGTTGGTCGCCTTTGGCCACTGGCTGTGAGGAAGGAGCCTTGTGCCACTCACAAGCAGGGAAGACTGCACACGACAGGACGGGCCATCGGCAGCACAGATCTCTGCCGCAACGCGTGCATCGGTGATTTTGAAAATGAACTCACTCGTGGGTGCCGTCTTTCTCTGCCTCGTGGCTACTGGTGAGGTCACCGCACACACACACGCATGGCATGCGTCAGAGATCTGTGAGTGAGTGCTGCATATCTATCCGTCGGTTGATGGCTTGTGTCATGTGATCTCAGGTCTGAGTGCCTCTCTGAGGCAGCGTGACACATCTGCCTTCGTCCCCCCCACCCCCTTTGGCGTCAGCAGTGGTCTGTCCAACGCAGTGCAGAGGTGCTCTGACCTGTGCCAAGCACGGGGCGAGACCCTCTTGATGGCCACGGCTGGCGAGGAGAACCTCGGCGCACCCCCTGCCGATATGGACAGGCGCAACATCCTCAACGCCCTCACACTTGGGGCGGTCGGCTTGCCCATCCTCCAGGCGGCATACTTCTACCTGGGGTTCTTCGTGCCGCCCAGCAAGAAGGGCGGCGCGGGTGCTGGTGTGCCGGCACTCGACCGAGTGGGCAACCAGGTGACGGTCAAGCAGTGGCTCGCCAGCCACAATGCGGGCGACAGGGAGCTCGTCCAGGGCATCAAGGGTACGCAGAGACGGGGGGGAGGGAGGGAGAGGGAGGGAGGGGGTCTATGTGTCAATCAGGGTTGGATTGGGTCTCTCTCTCTCTGTGTGTGTGTGTGTGTGTGCAGGCGATGCGTACTATCTTGTGGTCAACGACGAGAAGACGAACGTGAAAGACTTCGGCATCAACGCGGTGTGCACACATCTCGGGTGCGTGGTGCCGTGGAATGCCGCCCAGAACAGGTTCATCTGCCCATGCCACGGATCCCAATACGACGCTAATGGAAAGGTATGTGGGAGAGGCGAGCCACTCACTGATTGTCGAGAGATGCCGCACCATGCAGGTTGCGCGACAGACAGACATTGGACACGTGTGTGTGTGTGCAGGTTGTGCGTGGCCCTGCCCCTCTGTCGCTGGCCCTCGCCCACGTGGAAGCCGACGACAAGGGAGGGGTGAGTGATACGCTCTTTCCCACCGCGAAAGACACACATCCACGCTCCTGGCTTTATCTCTCTCTCTCTCTCTCTGTGTGTGTGTGTGTGTGTGTGTGTGCAGATTGTGTTCAAGGAGTGGAAGAAAAGCGAGGAGGACTTCCGCACCGGCGAGACCCCCTGGTGGTCATAAACGCGCCATCCATTCCCTCCCGTACACACATACAATACCATACATGGCTGCGTACAGTTTCACATGAATGGGCAGAGAGAAGTCGAGAGAGATCGATGGTAGGCAGGCCGGTCGTTGCGCGTCTGCTTGTACAGGGGGTGGGGGGGGCGATTGATGGATGGATGGATGGAACGCTATGCGTGAGTAGCTTTCTGCTGCAGTGAAGTGAATGTATGTGTGTGGGTGAGAGAGAGGGGAGGGGGAGGGGTGTGTGTGTGTGACGACCAGCCAGCCTCGGCCTGCTCGACTAACGCTCGTGCCATCATGTGCTTGCTTGCTGCGATGCCACCGACCTTAGCGGCCATACGTGAGTGAGTATTTTTGTGGCGCGGTGCGTCTGTCTGTCTGTCTTTTCGCAGCACCAGCTTAGCTGTTGATGTGTGTTCGTCTGGCCGTGTTGTGGTCTGCCTGGTGTTGTTGTCGTTGTACTCCCAGATGCCATCAATCACTCGTCGACATAACACGTGATCGATGACGTCCGGTGGCCGGCGGCGAACAACACAGGCAGGCCATCACACAACCAAACGCCGACGCTTCTGCCTTGATGCATTCTCTCGCCCAGCCCAATGCGTTGTCAGGCTGTGTGCGTGTGGCGGGGAGGGAGAGAGCATCACGGCAGGCGACCCAATGAAGACGCGGTAATGGTTGGCGGCGTGACAATGGATGATGTATGCATTTTCACCGAAAGTTTTGATCTTCATGGGCAGCTACGATCCACCGACCCAAAAGAGTTTCACGCGGAATTCTGAAAATGAAAAGCCAGGGCCCACTGAGCCCGCCGCCTTAGCAGTTGAGAGCCTTGCCGTCGTGGAGGTGGCCACGATGCTGTCTGACCTGGAGCAGAAGCACTCCGAGGTACGAAACATTGACCTTTTGATTCATTGGAAGGAGACCTGCCTGCCTGCCTCTCGCTCTTGCTTGCCCTGTGGTGGTCCCTGCAGATAAGCTGCCTGATGTACCGCTTGTCCGCACTGGACGCGTCAGATCTCTCATCGCACGTATGTCTGTCTGGACATCTGCACGATAAAGATGGTTCACACGCTCTGCCGCTGTCCGATTGTGTCATTCATGGCTGCAGGACTGTTCGCTCCACATGATAGCTGCGTTGTATCAGTACGCCAAGTTGAAGGCCTCGCTCAAGGCCCTCGTCAAGTCGGCCACCTTCCCCCAGCGACGCACTGCTGCATCGGTCAGTGAGCATACAAACAGATACAATTCCGAGCGGATGCGCTGTTTGTGTCTGTTATGGTCAGGCCAAGTTAGATGACCTCTCGGCCGACGCCATGGCTCGTCTGCAGACATCGACAGACCTGCAGGGCGTCGGCTGCCTCAAGACGACTGCACCACTCGTCAACTATCACGTCAAGATGGCCCTTCGTCGCCGGCTGACCGTCGCCGTGGACAAGGCGGGTCTGACGGGTGTGGTGCGGTTTGCGCCTCAGCTGGGCGACGGTGGTGTGATGAAGGCGCTGTGGCTGATGGAGGAGGGCGGCAGCTGGGGAGAGGTGGGCAATGGACTGCGGGTGGCGGGCCAGTGTGGCTATTGCCAACTGCCCATTACCATCGACGCTGTAGACCTGCAGAAGCACGACACCAAGACGGTAAGGGGGCACATCACCTCACACAGCAGGGGGAGAACAGGCTGCATCTTCTTGCATCCATCGTCGTGTGTTCCTGTGTGTCAGGCCTATTTGTCGATGCCCCGTGTGACAGCCCAGTGGATGGTCGTTGGTCGGCACGTGGCCTTCCGTCGTGCCAATGGCCAGCAGGATGGCACCTTCGAGCTCTTCCGTGACAATACCATCAACGAGATCCGCACCATCCGCGACGAGCCCGGGTTCGCCATCACCCTCAACCCGCCCCTGTCCACCAATATGCTGCACCCCCTGCAGCAGCACCCCTTCCAGCAGCACATCAAGCCAGATGACCTGCCCGTCTAGTCGACCATCTGGTTCTACCGCGGCGGCAGCTGGGCGGCAAACGCGGATGAGAACACCGATGCGTCGATGAGCGCCTTCATCGTGGAGATGATCAAGCACCATTACGACGAGAGCGGCGTCCAGGTCCACCAGATGCGCATGGACATCGATCGATAGGTACTCTCCGAAGCACACATGGGACGTGGCAGTGGATCGCTGTCTGTGTGTGTGTGGATGTGTGTAGTGATGCTGGGGGTGGCTATTTGGACGGCGTGCTGACACGGTCGCCCCACACACCACTGGACGGATGCTCAGCTATCGTGGCGTCGGCAGGGGGCGATGCAGAGGTAGAACACATTCATCTGCTGACGGCCTTCGACGACCCCTTCACAGCGTGGGTCCAATTCTGGGTCGTTCCTGATGACCGTCAGAATGGTGAGCGAGAGCCGCGAGTGCGGACAGACAGGCAGACAGTCTCATTGTCTGTCCCTCCTCCCATGTGGCAGTGAGTGTCACTCTGGTGACGACTGAGCAGCCGGTGGGCAGTCCGGGCGATCCGTTCCCCGCCAGGTATCAGCGCACGGCATGGCTGGCTCGGCGGTCGTTGGGCCCTGTCGCACCGGTCTTGCTCGACGGACAGGCGCCGTAGAGGACAGACACACAGATGACGCAACACGGTGAGGGCAGCCAGGACGATGCAAAAGAGGCCGCTGCACGCCCCTCATATGTCTGTCTTTCTGTCGTCTGTCTGTGTGGTCTGTCGTGGTGATGTGGTACAGAGGGATGTCGTTATCCATCCGTCCATTGGGATTGTCCATGCTTGCCTGTGACTAGACTGGTCGACAGCTGAGGGGGGCGATTCGCATTCATGATTGCAATGATACGGCGTGAAGATGTGGACCCATACACAGACATGCACATGATGTACGTACGGTGGCTGCATGCCCCAGTCACTCGTCAATCAAACATGTATGTCCTACCCCACACACGCCAGGCAATGCAAGTAGCTAGCTGGCCACACACACACGCACCTCACACCGATGGATAAGGACGCCTCACAAACAAATCTGCCATATTCCGTGAAACCGCTCTCCGCATCCCAGATGAAGGCGCTGTCGTCAGGCCTGTTGCTGTTCCTGCGGCCGTTTACACGCGTTCGGCGCATGTCTTCATCGGCGTCATCGGGCGCATCTGCCAAGACGGCCTCGCCGGATGAGATCAAAAAGTTCAATGAAATGGTGAGCTGAGCAGGGCACCCACGGTGGACACAGACCGTGTGTATGCGGTCATTCATCGCATCATGCCCTTTCAGGCGAAGGAATGGTGGGACCCGAACGGCCCTTTCGCAGGTATGTAGGTGGGATGGTGACGGTGGTTGCACAGAGGCAATTAAGGCAAGGCAAGCACGGCTGTCTGTCTGTCTGTCTGTGTACGCACGTGCATTGCATGTCCGTGTGTCGGTCGGTCGGTGTGTTAGGTCTGCACGACTACAACCCGACCCGTCTGGCCTTCATCAAGAAGCATGCACTCAAGGGCAAAGAAACCGACAAAATGGAACCACTCAAGGGGCTCAGGTGCCTGCACGTTAGCTGGGGGGTTGGCATGTGTGTGCGCATACGTATGTCTGTCTGTCTGTCTGTCTGTCTGTTGTGTGTGCTGTGTGTGCAGGATATTGGATATCGGGTGTGGGGGCGGCATTCTGTCTGAGGCGATGGCCAGAATGGTTGGCAGTGCAGTGCCCATCATATGCACACCTGCTGCACTGCACTGCACCGATTTGATTGCCGTGCACACACCGATCCATCTCCATGCACACGTGCGCATTCACCGCAGGGCGGGGAGGTGACGGGCATCGACATGAGTGAGGAGAGCGTCAAAGTCGCCGAACAAAGAAGGCAATCGTTCGGGTACATCGCATCCACACACAGACACACACAAACACAGACAGACACGGGGATGTTGTGCATGGGCTGCATCCATCACGTGCAGGTCGGAGGGATTCGCATCTCGGCTGTCCTTCAGCCACGGTGAGATCGGCGACGTCGCCGACAGCGTCAAGGACCACCAACAGAAAGTCGAAAAAGGCGAAGAGGTAAGTTAAGTTAGGCGACAGACAGACACACATGCTGCCGCAGCTGTGTGTGTATACGTCTGTGTGTGTGTGTGTGTGTCAGGTCGGCGATTCGGTTGCCCCGTTTGATGTGGTTGTGGCGAGTGAGATCATCGAGCACGTTGACGACATTGAGGGCTTCTTCTACGGCTGCACGCGATGCGTCAAGGGCAACGGTCCGACACACACACACACACATACACACGGATGGACACCCGTCACATCAAGCTTCACGACGAGTGTCTGCGTGTGTGTGTGTGTGTGTGTGGGTGGGTGGGGGTGCAGGTGGTGTGTTGGTCGTGACGACCCTCAACCGGACGCCCGAGAGCTACCTCCTGGCCATTGTGGGCGCAGAATACGTCACAGGCATCGTGCCAAAGGTAGCTAGCTGGACACACACACACACGCACACACACACAGAGGACACCCACCCATCGGCACGACCACCGCTGTCTATCTGTTTACCTCTCTGTCTGTCTGTCTGTCTGTCTGTCAGGGCACCCACGATTGGTCCAAGTTCGTGACCCCCAAGCACCTGGACAACCTCGCCAAACTCAGCGGAATGAGGAAAATCGAAATCCAGGTAGGTGAATAAATGGGTGGGTGCGCTTGTCCGTCCATCGTCATTCATGTGTTTTGGTATTTGTGTGTCTGTCTGTCTGTCTGTCTGTCAGGGTGTGAGTTACATCCCGGTTGTGCGTCAGTTTGTGCAGGAGCCCTTCGCACGGGTCAACTACATGGCCGCATACGAGAAGCCGTGAACGAATGACTGGCTGCAGTGTGATGGATGCATTGTGTGTCTGGCTGGCGTGCTCTTTGGTGTCTTGCCGATGGTGATAGCCAGCCATAGCCATGTCAAGTGGTCAGCATATGTCAGCATATAAGACAGACAGGTGCTGGCATCGGATGCATCGACGGCAAGACACCAATCAGGGGAGGGGGCCGCCCCGCCCTTGTCTAGCGCTCTCGTTGCAATGCAACATTCATTAAGTTCAATGGCCGGCCATGTGTACAGATAGATCAGACCGATGGGCTGGCTGTTGTGGGTAGGCGGGGGTGGGTTTGGTGTGCAGACAGACAGACAGGCAGACAGACAAACGCATCTTATCTGTGGGTGTACCTTTTCCGAGACGCGCGTGTGGTGCGAGTGAGTGAAGAGCCGTGGTGGGCAACACATACATCCATCAACGAACGATTCAAGTAGCACACAATACACACACACACACACACACACAGATGCATAGAGTCCACTCATTCATTCATGTGTGCAACATTCTAGCCACCGATCTCCAGCAGTCTGTCTACCTCCACCCCCAGCTCCTCACCTTCCCAGAGTGTCTTTCCCGCCCGCTCGTCGGTGTCTCTGTGGGTTTGTGGGTTTGTCGGTTTGTGTCGCTTGAGCAAAGGAAGGCTTGGCTAACCTAGCTACCATCCATCCATCCATCCCATGCCACCCACGTGCATCTGACTACCGAAAGTGCTACAACCCTCCGTCTGTCTGTCTGGTAAAGTGTCTGTGTATATTGGTTTAGTAGTTGTTGAGTAGTTTGACGGAGCAGCCGTCGCCGCCCATCGACACTATTGGCATCAGCAGCGTCTCGTCCAACGGCAAATCCTACACCAACCCAAGACACACACACACACACATGATATATCCGTCACGGGCACAACCAACCATGGGCTGTGTGTGTCTGTGAGTGAAGTGACTGAGTGACCTCGAAGGCGACCTCCCATTCCTCGTCGTTGACAGCATACGACAGCGAACTGACACATCGCGGCACACAGAGACGCAGGGAGACCGGGAGACTTCCATGTGAGTGTATGCATGGGTGTGTGCATCCTTTTCAGGCCTTGTGTTGACGCACCCGAATTCCTTGCCGTTGAGTGGCCTCATGTCGACCTCGACGTGCACCACATTGCCCTCGTCTATCAGACGGTCGCCACCCGGACGATCCTACACACACCCCACCCACACATCACACATCCATCTGTGTGTCCATTCCTGTCCTGTCTGTCTGTGTGTGTATTGCGTGCCTGCCAGGGTTCGTCGTCCCGCGATCGGCTGCAGCGGGAGGTCGTTATCAAACGCCAGGGCTTCTGCAGACACACACACGGAACCACACACGGACAGACAGGGAGGGGGACAGACATCGAGTGGGGGGGGGGGTGTTTGCCTTGCCTGAGCTGACTGACCTCGTGGTTCATGCCGTGGACACCGAACTGCAGCTGGGGGCGGTGCGCACACTTCTTGAGAATCGAAAAGGACCACCTGTTTGACGCACATACACAAACACATGGACATCTGTATGGTATGCCCGTGGTGTGTGTACTTGTAGAAGGCCCCTCTGCTGATGCGCAGCGTCCCCGACACGGGGATCACCCAACCCTGCACACACGAGGGAGGACGTCCATGAATCATGCATGGGCAGAAGACATATGTGTTTTGTGTGTGTGTGTGGGGGG